TGGTTTGGTGTAATTTCCTCTTTTCTCCTCCTAGCAACCCTAAGCACTTTTTCCACTTTTTCATCCCCAAGGTAATTTTTTTCTACTCTCATTTTTCTTGAAACTCCATTAGTTTTTCGTTACTTTCTAATGTACATAGTTATTTTGTCCTCGCCATCATCTTCTAACTAAAAAAATTCAAAATTACTTTCTTACGCGTCAAGCGGGGCGAGCGGAAATTCGAAAGCGAGAGGGAAGAGGGCTTACCGACCCATCTTTCGATGGGTTTGTCGATCATGCTGGTTGATCGATCAGCCACATAACTTCCTGGGTGAATAAAGTGGTTGTTGCTACTCCAGTGAACCTGTAAGAAGAAGCTAAGCCATTCTCCTCCATTTTACCTCCAGTGAGTGTATTAGTGACTTTTTTCATAGATGAATGATTTGAAGAAAAGGAAGAGAAAGCCAAAAAAAAGTGTTGGGAAAAAAAGAAGGTTCTTATACTTGGCACGCCAGTAAAGTATTTATAAATGCTTGGTGCTAATCTACATGTCCAATACCACATGCCACTCACTAGACAATTTTCATCCACATGCTAAGTAGTTAACCTCCACCTACAAATTGGGTAATGGAATCGGTCATAACCGTCAAATGATTTCAATTAATTTAAAGTAGGTCCGAACAAATGGGGTGGTAGTGGTTTGTCTACCATAATGGCCGTCGAGTTAGCATAGCGACAATCAGGCTAGCAAAGATAGTCGAGCTAACATAGCAGCAGTCGGACTATTGTGATTTGCCATAATCCACAATTTATATCACATAGCATCTATAGTAATAAATTATTTTTAATACAATTGAAATCTATTAACAAGATAATAAAACTAACAACAGTAGAATCTTTTTTTTTTTTTTGAAAATAAACATTTCATTAAGCTTCCAAACAGCAAGATTGGGATACAAGGAGTGTCCTCCAACACAATCTCTCCTCAGAGAGTTTAAATGTTTCCAATGCTATAACGAGCAACACCTTACCATCAAGAAAACAAGCCAAACAGACAACAATAACAAAAACAAACAAACACCACACTAGGCCCGTGAAAGCAAAAGGCCTGCACTTGCTCCAATATTCAAGTCGTTCCACCAAGCAGGCCCAAAAATGAGAAAGATCTGGAGGCACGAGCAAAAGCTTCAAAGGCGAAGAAGCAGAATGCGAAGAAATTACCTTCCTTTCCATGATTCGTACCAATCAGTCACCAGGAAACCATATTTACAACTGAGATTGGCTTAAGATCCGGATGAACATCTGAGATTGGCACAAAATCCGCATCAAATCCGGATTTCCAACCGTGTGCAAGAGGTTCCCAATGGGGTCAGACTCACTCCCAATCTGTCCGGAGATATCCCTGATTTAAAGCTCTGGCTCCCTTGCCGCCGGAGGAACGCCTTCCAACCCAACGCCACATCTTGCTATCGCCTCTGAAGACCCAACAACCACAAACAAACCAACCAAAATCTTTTCCAACACAACAACCCCAAACTGAAAAACAGGAAAAAAAACACAGAAAGGGGGAGAAAAGAAGGAAGGGAGGGGAGAGCCGAAGCTCCCACCCCCGGCGAAAGCACGGGAAAGGGGCGGTTTAAGAGCAAGGGTTTGGAGAGAGGCTGGAGATTCAGGAAAGAGCACATCTACAGATTAAAAATTTGAGAGAAAGAAAACCAGAGTTTCAAAGAAACCTGGGAAGAATCTTAATAAAACCAGATTTTCAAAGAATCTTAATAACTCACAAATAGAGATGGCAAATTTCCCCGTCCTACCCCGTCCCCGTGGGGCCCCG